GGTTCTTCACCCTCTTCATCATCTTGAATTGACACTATCTTAGCACCAATTCCTTACCGCTTCTCAATGTAATGCATTCAAAGATTTAGGATTTATCACCCGTGTTGGAAGGCATTGAACCACTAGCCTTAGCTTGCTGTTCCCTCACACCATTGACAACTTAGTGACATAAGAAGTCAAATTAGAGGTTCTAGTTTCCCATTGCTCCATCCTATTCTCTAGGGCTGCAAATCTAGCTTCAGATTTAGCTTCAGACTTAGATATGTGCTCAGTCATTGCTCAATGCCCTTGAGTATTCGAGAGAACGCTCATCATCCTTAGACTGTGATTGCTGTGGGGTGGGGTAGACATAGCTCTAGAAGATTCTCCTTGTAACCCTCCATAGTAAGATTGCCCTTGAGGAACTATATTCCCTTGAAACCCCTCTTGAAACCTGCCTATTGTCACCTCCTCCCCATCGGAAATTTGGATGAGCTTTCCATCCTTCATTATATGTGTTTGAGTATGGGTTCCATTGCTTGGATTGATTGGCCCTTCCTTGATACATGGCAGAAACTTCCTCATATCTATGAGGGCAAGCAGCAGAGATGTGCATAACAGAGTTACAATGCTCACAACTAGGTGCAGTCATCTCCTGGAATTAGGAGTCGAGAGGTGTTCCAACAGGGGGAGTGTGAGATGCAAGCTTATTCAACTGTGTAGTCAAAGCAGCAATCTGAGAAGTGAATGTGTCCAATTGAGGAATGTGGACTGAAGAAGGATTGGCATGCATTGCATTGATATTTTAGACTCCCTGATGCTATACTGATGGGTTCAATGCCATTTTCTTGATAAGTTCCCATGCCTCCTCAGCAGTTAAATCAATAAGAGAACCCCCAGAAGCAGCATCTAACATCCCCTTATCTGGGGTCTTAAGTCCATCATAAAAGTATTGGACTAATGCTCATCTGGAATCTGATAGTATGGACATATAGAAAGTAAGTCCTGAAAGAGTTCCAATGTCATAAAGTGACTCATCATAATCTTGCTTTGCAGAGTAGATCTCTTTTATCAATGTGGAAGTCCGGGAAGCAGGGAAATACTTCTCCAAGAATGCTTTTCTGAGGTTGTTCCAGTTATGGTAGGCATCTGCATATAACTAGGCAAGCATGTACCATTCTCGCGCTTTGCCCTCCAGAGACAAGTGGAATACCTTCCAAAGAACCTCATCCAGATTAGCCCCAACCGGCTTCATGCTAGCACATACCATAGAGAGAGATTTCAGATGTTTGTACGGGTCCTCACCTGTCAAACCATAAAATTTAGGCAAATTATTAAGCAGTGGACCTTTAATCTCAAAATTAACATCAACATTAGGCATGCAACATTAAAAGGATCATAATTGCATCAGAAGTAGTGGCTTCCCTAATGGTTCTCTTCTAGGGTTATCTCCAATTATTCTCTCCTACTCTATCATCCTCCCCATTATGTCCATTGCCCCTCTTTCATTACCACCATTGTTACCATTAGGATTATGAACTGTTTCCATTATGTCACCCTAAGTCACCACTAAATCTAGATCAGTTAAATTGTCTAGTTCAACCTCACTAGTCCTTTTCTACCCTTTGGTCTTGTCTAACTTCCCTTAAAGAACTTTGAAGCTCAAGATTGGAAGGAACTAAGGTTTTAGACCTACCCTTTCTTGGCATAAACAATCAATCAACCAGAAGCAATTAAGCAAAAGAAAACAGATGAATGCAATGCAATGAATGAAAAATGAAGATATTTAGTTGTATTTTTGAGAAATTTTGATGCTATGAAAAAAAAGAAAAAAAAAAGTCAAAAGAAACAAATGCAAACTACTAAAAAAAATGTAAAAACTAACAAAAATGAAAACTAAAAAGGCTCAACAAATGAACCCCAATCAAGGCTACTTGACACTTAATTACTAGGGAACCAATTTCTTGGCTCCCCGGCAACGGCGCCACTTGAAGTTGAACTTCCCTTTGATTGTCGCTTTGGGGTTACTCCAAAAATTAACCGAATTAATGCAATATAGTGCAAAACTCGGGTCGTTTCACTTTGAGGAGCCGAAAACGAAATTAAACCCTAGTAAATAAATGCAAGTAACCTAAATTATAAAAAGAGATTTTTGATTTTGAAAAGCTGTTAATTAAATACTACGAATCAAATTGAAATTAAAATACTTTTTTTATATTTTCTTTTATATAAAAGATATTGAAATAACTGAAGATAAAGAAATGAAAATGAGACACACAAATAACACTGATAAAAATCAATCCTCCAATTCAACAACGCAGGCAATCATCACTCTAAAAGATGTGGGAGTTAAAAACAATGAATTAAGAATTATAATTAAGCTTTTGATCCAACAACCGAGCCACCTCGAGTTGCTACAAATATTTTCCTAAAATCCCAATTTACTAACTGCAACCAGAATAGTAAAATGGGATTAAGGATGCTAAAAACCAATGCTTAATTAGAACTCTTAAATCCAAAATAACAGAATTAAAGCTAGCAAGAGACTATATGATCCAAAATTCCAAACCACCTTAGAAAATCACAAATATTAATTCCAAAATCAATACAAATGTCATAACCACAACATTATAATTGAGATCAAAACTATAAACAGCCCAATGTCAAATACTAAGCAATAATTCAGTCACAATAATCCCCAAATATAAACAGATTAAGCAATACAATTATCCCAATAATCAGAAAAACTATCCTAAGACCTAGGAATTGTTAAACAATTATTGAGTAAGAAATTAAAGCAACTAAAACTCCCCTTGATGATCTAAGCTCCTGCCATTGTTGTTGAATTAGAGGATTATTAAGCTCTAGCCATGGATTGCCATAAGAAATGCCACAATCAGTATTTTGCTACAGGATCCCATGGAAGAACGCAGGCGCCGTCGACTCGTGCTCGCTGGTGTTCTGGGTTTCAGCTTCCACCGCGCCCAGCTCGTCAGCGCCTTCTGTTGCGTTCGGCGTCTTCTGTTGCCTCGCGTGTGCCTTGCTCTCCGGATGAAGGTGATTCGGCGTCGTGTGTGTGCGTTTCCGTTTCGGCCTTGTGCGGCTTCGGTTTGCTCTGTTTTTTTTGTTCGGCCGCGTTCATCTCTCCGCCCTCGTGAAGAAGAAGATTAATATTGGATTATTAGGGTGGGGCAAAACGCAACGTTTTGCCCCACCTATTATTATTATTATTTTTTTTTTAAAATTTTATTTTTCTTTTATTTTTCTTTCTTTTTTTTTTATTTTTAAATCTTCCAAGAACCTGCAAGCAAAATTCAAGGATAAGGTAGCATTAATTGTCCTCAAAAATCAATTAGTCACAATTAAATCAAAATATGACAATTTTGCCCCTATAAAATAATAATTCAAAATAAAATAAATAAATCAATTAAGGCAAAAAGGGACCAATTAAGCTGACAAAACTCATATAAAAGATACCAAAATATATAAAAATAATTGAGTTTGTCAACTGGTATATAAAATACGAGCTGGATGGTACTTGTTGCTGAGTCTTCGAAGATTTGCATTATCAGTTACAGTCTGTTGTGTGTTAGGTGCTAAAATGGGGTTTGATTCGACTGCACTGTAGAGACATGCTTAAACGTAAACGTACGAATCAACTTCAACATACTTTTATGATTAAGGCGTTATAAATAAATCCGTAAAGCAGTGTTCATAAATAAATATTGATGATAGGAACAGAGAGGCAGAGACGAAATAGATATATGATATTGAAGGATTTTGAGAAGGAGATTGCCAAGTTATACGCACACATGACACATAAATATGGGTTGGCGGCAGCAGCGGCTAAGGTAGCTTAATGGAAGGTTCCGATAATATTATGAAATTTTGGTAAAAAAAAAAAGAAGAAGAATAATATTGTGAAAGCGTGTGAAGAAAGGTGAATGTGAATAGCCTTTATAAGGCTGCTTCATACTCTGTTTCTCTGTTTATATACCCAAAGGACACAACAAAAGCACATTAATAAAAACTTGTCATTGTAAGTGTACGTGCAAATGTACTTTCACGTTAACATTTGCTGTTTTATTTACTAAGTTAGTTTATTCGACTATTTATCACATAGTTAACAACTATATAACGCTACTTTAGAAGTCCACTCATTGAACTAAATGACCATGTAGAGAAAGACCAAGTAATGATTCGAATATTTTCAATTTAGTTTCCTTCTTGATCATGATAAGACTTAAAACTAGCAATCCCTTGGTTATTTTAATTCTAGAGATGATCACCAGGCCATCTCTTACATGATCAGAATCTTATGGAGTAAAATTAAAATGTTTTCCTATTTTGCCACCACTCATACAAATAACTTGTTACAGCTCTCTCTAATATGAGTAGTTTGTAATTGCAAATGTAAGGGTTCAAATAAAGAACTGTAATGATACCTATAAAAAAGACCCCAAATGCTCCCGCAAAACTCCATAAGAAGGCATCTCGAAAGTCATCCCCTTCCAAATAATCATCAGGTTGCTTGTTTCTTCCAGCTTTTAAGCAACTTTTTTGCAGAGGCGGACCACATAGAAAAGGGTTCCCTTCATAACTGGCTGAACTAAAAGTTGCAAATTGATTTTTCATGTCAGGTGTCGTTCCAGATAGATTGTTATGAGCCACCAAGAAGACAGACAAGGAGTACAACTGAATTAGTTGTTCAGGAATGTGACCTGTCAATTTGTTGCTTGAAAGATCAAGGCTCTCTATCTGCTTAAGGTGGGAAAACGTTTCTGGAATGGGCCCTTTCAATCGATTGTTTGACAAATTTAATGCATGGATACTGCCTAAGTATCCAATTTGTGAAGGAATCTCACCTATCAATTGATTACTTGAGAGATTCATCCCAGACATGAAATTTAAAATGCTTCCTTTATAAGATTCATACCTGCTTTTTGTTGTAAAATCTACTTCTTGGTCCTTATATAGTGTAAAATTTTCTTTTTCTTTTAGTATGGAAACTTCACCGGTCAGACAATTAAGTTGATAACTTGAAACTCTTGTAGTCCATGACACAGTAAAATGTCCTATTTCCTTTTCCCTTGGTTCATCTATCTTTCCAAATGTGATGTTATTCAAGCAATATGGGATGCCTCCAGAAAGCTTATTTTGAGAAAGATCTAATAATCTGATATTCTTGAGTTCACATAAATGAGTAGGAATAGAGCCTTCAAGTTTGTTTCCTTTTAACATGAGGACCCTTAAACTCAAAAATGAGCCATTCACTCTTGAAAGTTGACGTGAAAAATTGTTATTCATCAAATTTAAAGTCAACAATAAAGGGAAATTAGCTAAAGTGGAAGGTAGAGGTCCCATGAAATGGTTGCTCTCCAAATGCACGTACTTCAACTTTGAAAAATTTAGACAGATTGGCAAAGAGCCATTGAATTTATTTTTAGAAAGGTCTAGATATGTAAGTTCGGTCAAGTTACAAAAGCTTTCTGGTAGTGAACCTGTTAAAGAATTCTTTGACAAAATGAGGTAACTCAAATGTTGAAGGTTTCCAATCCAGCTAGGTAATTCACCAGATAGTTGGTTGGCACTAATATCCAACATTCTTAATTCAGTACTATTCATGACCCCACCTTCAAGCTTTCCTTTGAAGTTATTGTTGTTGAGATCCAAAAACAACAAAGATGTGAAATTTGATCCTATGGGAAGACATGGGCCGCTTAAGTGGTTGTTTGACAACTTCAAAAACCTCAATTCATTGTTGCCTTGACCAAATTCTTGGGGCAAGTAACCAGATAAATTATTATTTGACAAGTCAAGATCATTCAGTTGTCTCATTTCACCTATTGAAGCTGGGAAGCAACCTCGCAATAAAGTTGAAGACATGTTAAGAGAGATCAAGTTGGGAAAAATGAAGCCAATATGAGAAGGTATGTCATCTCTAATGGGGTTAGAGGAAATATCAAAAGACTCCATTTGAAGCAATTTTAAGGTGGAATTGAGTTCAAAGGGACCAATGAACAAGTTGTGGGTCAGATTGAAATCACTCAATTTTGTGTTGTTTGTCAAAAGCCAGGACGGGAAGCCCCCTGAAATGTTTGTGTTGCTAAGTTCTAGATTTAGCAAGTCATATTGATGAAGAAGAAAGGTAGGTATTCTTTTAGCATTGGCTTTGTTTAAAGTACAGTTGCCGATTGTGAAAACCCTCAACTGGAAGGAAGGGATAAATGGGGGATTCTCAGTTTCAAGCTTGAGATTGGTGTTAGAGCATGAAATGGAAAAGACTTTGAGGTTGGAATTGTTGGCAAGCGAAGAGAGTGAAAATAAGCCGTTGAAATTGTCGTCGGAAAGAACAAGTGCTGTTAGAGACCTCAGAGAATGAAAGAGTGAGGAAGGAAAGGTTCCTTCAAAATTATTTACTTCAATATTAAGCGTATATAAGGACGTCAAATTGCCAAGGCATGGAGGGAGTTGCCCCTCAAATTCATTAACGGCAAGATCCAAGAATGAAAGATTCTTCAAATTGCATAGGCCTCCTGCAACATACACCATTTTCTCCATTAAATTTATTTCAATAGAACAATGTATTTAAATTAATGTTGGGCCCCAGGAAAAAGCCCTTAACATTGAGCCCAAAAATATGAGTAAAAATAAGTTATTAACCCATTTCCTTTTATTAGTTTTAGCCTGTCCATGTGTGTAAATACGGCTCCATCTTCTTGTTGTCATTGTTATGTCAACTGTTATTTGTTTTGACTACATTATTTTAAACTACTGCCGCATGCCAGTTAGGAGATGGATTGGAAATCGGTTTCATTGAACAATCGACTCAATTTGCATGAACAAGGAAAATTTGACTGTTTAATTAAAATACAATTTTTTTATCAGCAAATTTTATGTTTATTAGCGAATACTCAATTCATGGATTATTTTCTTTTCATCGCAGATGCTATAAAATATGGTGCGTACCTTGTTGTGGCAATGATCTATTCAAGCGGTTATTAGATAATGTCAATACGGTGAGGGAAGTAAGAGACGTAATAGATTCCGGAATACTGCCCTCCAAGTTATTACCATCAAGCAACAGCAAATCCAGATTACGTGAATGAGAAAGGTCTGTCAAATGCCAAATGGAAATCAAATGATAAGTATATATGTTGTTAAAAAATTTATTGATAATGAATCTGCTACGTAAGAAAATGTCATCTTATCTCTTAAATTTCATTCAATTCTCTCAATTAAATAAAGGCACATAAATTGTTCGGTTGAGATGATTATATGACAAAGGTAAATAATATGACTTCACAACAAAATCAAGAAAAACAAAAGAAACTTTCATATATTTAATGGAAAAACTTTGTCTATATATTTCTCTTAGCACGTTTTTAAAATCATGGCCCGGTAATCTTTTCTCTAAAAATAGATATACTTTTGATGCACGTCTCAGTAACTACATATATCACTCAAAATATACTATGATATAGAAGATAAAGATTTAGTACCGAAATATGGGAATTCTGTGAACATATTGTCTTGTAAGCTCAACACTTTCAAGTTCACCAACCTGATATCGCCAAACAGCTCTGTCCCATAAACAACATGTGATCAGTTACTATGAATGTTAATGGGTGTAAAGAATTATACAAAATGATTCGTATAATTAATATCATCGTCCTCTTCATAGTTTAACATGAAGTGAGAGTTTGATAATGTAGTTTCTATTAAGCTTGTTTTGGGCCCCTCTATATATCCAAGAAAATATCCTGCTTAGTAATTTATTTTTTAAAAGATATTTACAACACGAATCAAAACGTTTAGTATCTCAAGCATTTTCTAAAATATCTTACTTGAATATATTTTTTTTAAAATTAGTAAAAAGAACTTTTGGTATTCAAATTTAATTTGTCTCCGTTATCATTTTGGTCTGTGAAGTTTAATTTTTATCAATCAAGTTCCTAAAGTTTCATACACAACTTTTTTCCATCTGATGCTATCTATAAGATATAAATAATTAAATTATGTAGATTGTATAGTTTGTTAAAAATTAAAATTGCTTAAAGATAATAAATATGTAAAAATGTATTTTTTTTTCTAAAAATAACATCCATATTTACGGAGAGAAACGATGAATGAGAGAGAAATCGAGTATGAAAAAGATAAGAATGAGAGAGAATAAATGAAGTGATATAACATATAATTACTGGGAGAAAATGTAAAAAATTGGTTCAAATTTCATAAATAAAGCAAAGCGAGGGTTATCATCCTTGAATTAATGGTTAGAGATAGCACATGTGCGTTTAGGATTATATATCTTCAAACCATAATGACTAATTTTGGATGATTACGAAACTTTAGGGACTTGATTTATGACAATTAATTAAATTTCATCGATCAAATTAATAAGTGAAGCAAATTTGAGGGACATAAAGTTTCATTATTCCAATAAGAAATTATTCACAAATATTTAGCTAGAACTAGAATGGACTCTTAAGTCTTACCTTAGCAAATCAGTGGCTTAAAAGAGGAAACCGATGAAAAAAAACAAGATAAAAGGCAATGAATGATATGATCATAATCATTTTTAACTAATTTTTTACCATAAATAATGTGCTTTTACATCTTAAAAAATCACAGTTCGAAATGCTTACAAAAATGTCGGTCTTAATTAACAATGTAGGTCTATGTACTGTGTGTGTATTGGTATATATATGTATGCATGAATGATAGAATAGTTAAAAGAAAGAGGGTGACCTGACAAGTAATTCCCATCCAAAAGCAACGTTTGAAGCTGGATGAAGGGGAGAAAAGAAGAAGCATTGAGTGACCATTTGATGTGTCTCAACTCATAAGCTCTTGTATCGCTCAGATAAAGGCTTATGACTCTATGAGTGGAGTTGTCACACTTCACAGCCTCCCAAGTGCAGCAATCTGCAGAGAAGGTATGGTTATTCCAAGAAGTAAGAGAAGAGCCATTTGGAAAATTGAAAGCTTCTTTCAATTTCAGAAGAGCTTCTCTCTCTTCTTTCAAGCACCCCTCAGCTTCTCCATTAAACCCTAATAATATGAATATGATTATGGCCATCACCCACCACACCTCCTCTCTCACTGAGTATCCCATTTTTCTCGATGCATGTCTTCAACTGCGTGTTGTTCATCTATATATAGAGGCCATTTCTTTGCTTGCAAGACTCAGATTGGGCAGAGGCAAAATAGAAAGCTCCACTTCATATCTGACATATAAATATTTATTTCTCTCATATGTTAGCTTATAAGATAGCTAACATATTTATAATGCAGAAATTACAATTGAATAAATATAAAAATTAAGTAAATATCCCTAATATCTTGGAACTAACAGAAAGAGACGTTGGTGGACCTCTAACAACCTAGAGTCCCCTTATTCAACTAATAAATCATTAATAAAATCAATAAAACCTAAAAGACTCATTCAACTCTCCTAAAAAGATGCAAACAAAATCAACCAGTACTGCAGTCTCCCTATTTCTTCTCTAGTGCGTTAATGTGCTGACTTGGGGTGCCATCAGAAACCTGCCAGCAAGAATGACATTTATCGTAAAGTTATAAAGAGTCAAGTTCTGAGAGCAATTTAACGTATAGTTTCCTTGTTGAATCCGGGTCGTGATTATGACAAGTTATGAAGTTGCTGATGAGCAGAGAGGATGTGAATGACACATAAATCTCACTTGTGTCATTTCTTCGATTAAAGAAAACTACAGTTTTGTTTCACAAGTGACCTTCTTCAACGTTGTTAACATACATGCACACATACACACACACACACACACCTATATGTTTCGTGCATGCGTGATTCTTTGATATCTCTTTATAAAATTTGAGACATATCTTCACACAAAGTCTAAATATGCAGTTTCATTTGCAGTTAAGTATTGTTTTGGATTTAATTTATGCAGGCCTTTGTCTCAAGTTTCTATGGATCAACCCGATCCAAGAAGTATTCTCTCAAGTGCTTCCCTTCATAACTGACACAAATTTGGAGTCTTCTAGTCAGAAAAGATTAGAAAAAGATGAAAGATTCCTTGCCCGCTACACGATTGGGCTTGACGTAACCTCTCGACGACTTATGATTGATCCTGACAGTTGCTAACAATGTTCACCATACAAATAAGCTTTATATATACATATATGTATATATTCTTATCAAACAAACTATGCCCCATCAAAGGGAGTTTGGAAAGCCGGACTGTATATGGTAGACGGAGATTTTTGTGCAGAAAGTGAACTATACGTCTAAACTTTGAAGCTTATTTCTATACGTTTATCTGTGTTTAGCACTAAAATTGACTCGTAGGCACTCAGTTAGGACTAATTATTAGGATAGAAACTTATAGAACTAATCTAAACTGAATTTTCCCGTTTGTACTTGATTAGCCAAAGACTCCTCTCTACCAAGAATAATACAAACAAGAAAAAGATAGAAAAAATATATTATCTCTAGTCCTAATTATAAAACTTTATTTGTAGTCTACAAACGAGATTTTATAATTAGAATCAAAGTAGTAATAGGTGAGTTGGTTTGCCAAATAAAAAATTATTTCTGCTAATCTTTGCTTGTTTTTGGGTCTTGTTCATTGGTTTTAGACTCTGTTTGTTCTTGATTTTACATTTTAATCATGCATCGTTGTTTTTAAAGATTTACAGTATTTTCCAAAGAGTAGGGTTTCTTTTTGCTTTTGTCTTTCTTTTTCCCCTGCCTACGATTCCTTAGTGTGAGTCTGAGATATGGCATGTTTATGCACACAAAACACTTCTATATATTTTAATGAATTTTTATGTTAATTGTCGTGTTTTATATATAAAGTTTAATTAGGCTATAGCAAAAATTACGTACGTTCCATAATATTACAATTTAAGTGTGTTTCAACAAGAATCAAATCTTGTAATTTACTATTGCCGAGTTGCTGTAAATCTTAATCTTGATTATTTTATATAATTCCAAAATGTAACATCGTGCTATATATATATATATATATATATATATATATAATTAACTAAAATCAGATTCTGCTTGCCTAAATAAATCTAAAGCCTAACCTTTTATTACCATACTTGTTGATTATTGATGCGTATATAATAAGAGTCCCCTGCTCAGCTTGTCTCTCTCAGAGTAGACATTTATAGGAGCAGATTATAAATGAAAATTGATCAGATTATAATTTGGGGAAAATCAAAAAGATTTTTTTTTCCTTTTAACATCTTAATTAACTCCCATATAATAGTACACGAAAAGTAAAATGAAAGGGAAAAAAGTATCATTGTTTCACATAATCTGATAACAGTACTGAAATCTCAAGAATCAACATCCACAGCAAAATTCAACTGAGAAAAACGTAACAACTTGGGCAAATTGAAAAAACACAGCACTTTCTTAGTGGGAAACAACCAATAAAGCTAACAACCGTGCAAGACTTGAAAAGTGAGTCACAACCAACAAAGCTAACCACCAAGACTTGAAAACCAAGTCACAGTCAAACCCCAGTTGGGGGGGTGTTAATATAGTCAATGGCCAGAGATCCCACAGACTTATAAAATAATAAAATTAAAACGTATTTTATAAAAAGAATTTCGTTAAATATAAATCACAGACTTATCAGTCCACTTTTTTGGGTGTGATTAGAATCTATGACACATAGAAACAAATCTGATCTATGATGGATTGTTCAAACAACGTTGGGACACAGCGCAATTTTAGCAGAAAATATTTAATCAAACGAAACATACCAATAAATTAGTTGACCTTTTATATATATAATCTATAATCCAATTGGGGGAAAAAACAGTATATGCAATAAATTACAAATTAAGTCGGGTTAATTGTGTTCTGTGTGGGAAAAGATGCTGTGAGATGAGAAAGTGATGAGAGAGGAACCCAGCATCCTTTCCAGAAGCCTTCACCCTTACTTTTGGTCTCAGCTGGGATCTGTGATGAATCTTGAACAGCTTGCACGGTGGTGGGATATGCAGGTGGTGGTCACAAGCCTGACCCGGTGGAGGATAAGCCATCACTGGTGTTGATGGAGGATAAGCCTCTGCATGTGCATAATCATATCATCCAATCTGACATATATCAAATAAACAATAATACAGCAAGAAACTGATTAATTAAGTTGAATAATTCTACAAAAACCTGAAGTTGGTTGTGTTTTTTTATTTGGCCAAAACCTTGGTTGTGTTGACTCATAGTATCTGTCGCAGGTTTTGCACTAGGCTGAGAAAGAAGGAGAAAAGAGAAGGGTGATCATATATATTTCTTATAATTAACTAATTTACCTAACTTTCATAATTTAATCAAATTAGTTAAATATATCTTATATTAAGAACAGGAAGAGTAATAATGATAGTTAATGGTCAGATACAGGGGCAAACCGTGAAATAGCTTGAAGGAACCACTTAGACTACGTACGCTTGGCAAAACGGTATTTTGATCACAAACCGTATCTGATATACATATAACAGTAAACATAGCAGGAGGCTCTTGCTAATGGTAGAGATTTATGGTTAATAAATATTGATGAAGTTAAGTTCATTATCTTTTGAATGATTGGAACAGGGAGGGCAAGACGAAATAGATGAATGTGAATAGCCCTTAAAAGGCTGCTTTATGTTAAGCATTCCATCAAATGGTAATTATAACTAATAAAATTGTATGGTAATGGTATTTATTATAAATAACTAACTCAACAAACTTTTATAGTTACCTCAAATTAGTCGTTTAACTCTTATATTAAAGACCAGCTCATTTCTTCAATTAAAGGAAAGTATATTTTTGTTTCACAAGTGAACTTCAACGTTATCATATCTGACACAGACTTCCTGTGGTTTAGTGTGAAAGGTTAGAAAAAGATGAAGATTCTTTGCCCCAAAATGCACGATTGGGCTTAAAGTAGCCACTCAACTTATGATTGATCCCGACAATTGCGATCTATGTTCCCCACGCCTAACGAGTTTTATATTATTTATCACAACTATTTAAAAGTCAGTGCATTTGCTTTTGACATTTCTGCACAATCCAACAAATGAAACTATGTGTTCATATGTGTTTAGCGCTTTTTTTCCTTTCTTTTGTTTTTTTTTTAAACCTTTGATTTAGTGGCAGACAGTAATTAGCTGAGATTATAAGTGGGGTCCCACAACTTTTTGTTTGTTTACAGGAAATCTTTCATATCATTAGATTATGAGACCATTATAGCACAGTTGAGTTTTAGTCAATGAGTTGTGATTAATTAGGATAATAATTCATTGAACTTGCGGTTTTGAACTTGCCATAGTCTCCAATATACGTATCAAGAATAACACAATGACAAAGAGTTAGGGGGAAAAAAAGATGATGTGTTTTTTTTTTTTGGGGGGGGTGGGGGAGGTGGTTTAACATACAAACAGGGGAATCGTAGTAAGATAATAAAAAAAGAAAGAAAGAAAGAAAGAAAAGAAAGATGCATATCGAAACCACATCAAATAAAAAGAAATTATTTCCATTTATTGCTTCAGTAATCAATTTAGTATATGAAGTTTAATTTCTATCAATTAAATTTTTTAATTCTGTATAGAAGATATAAATAACTAAGAAATGCACACTCATGTGTGGTTCTATTTATAAGTTAGAAAGAAAAGATTTCATTTCATTTTATTTTTAAGTAACATCATTAAATTTTTTACACGAATATATAATTTTATTTCTTAGAAATTATGGGTATATATATATTAAAATGAGTAAAATTAGAAAATTAAATCCCAAAATAATCTGACATGGACTATTAACCAGTTTAATTAATCTGGAAAACTAGGAAGAGGTCAAGATATGCTCTCCCAAAATGCACGATAGGGCTTAGGCTCTCTATTTCTGATGATCCCGACAACGTCTATCACCCTCACATGCTAATTTCTAATCAACAAGAATGACATTTACCAGAAAGTTATAATTGTGAGCGGAATTTAAATTAGTTTCCGTGTTGAATCAGTCATGATTGAGACAAGTTATAAAGTTGCTGATGAGCAAAGAGGACGTGAATGGCATATATAATTAACTAAAATCAGATTCTGCTTGCCTAAATGAATTTGAAGCTTGACCTTTTATTACTA